AAAAAAAAAAAAAAAACGGTTGTTTCAGTAAGAATTGCTAATTGAATGTTGTTTTTTTTCAGTGAAACAAGCAACAATTTAGAGTCCAAAAAATTGAGGAGAAAAAAACAAGAGAAAAAAAAGTAAGGAAAAGTGAAGAAGAATATAAAAAATGAAGCAGAAGGCGAACAACAAAAACAACAACCACATAATTGGTGGAAATGAACATGCAAACTATCTATTTTTGACCAAGGAAACAACTGCCATTTTCATTTCTCCTTCAACCTACTTTTGTGTTCTGTCATTTCAGTTGAAGCATAAACCAAAAAGCGGAATAAGCGGAAAAAGTAAAAACAACGGATTATGTCTTAAAATCACTCTTCGCCTTCTTCTTTCTCTTCCCCTTCAAAAAAACTAACAGCAAAAAAAATACTTCGAAAGAAAATACTTATCGCCTTAAAAAGGTGTGCAGAATCTGACACTTAATTCGTGATAAAAGCTTTAAAAATGAGAAGTAGAAGCACAAGTTAAAAAAGTTTTTAAAAAAAAACGCTATCAAAACTTAAATAGCCATTAAAGAAAAAATAAATAGAAAATTAACTGTGCTTTTACTGCAAAGAAAATTGAAAGACAATGATCAAAAAACGAATTTTGGTTTAAAAAAAAAAAGATCAGTACAGCTGAAAATTAGAACAAACGAAGATAGCTTACCGCTTAGTGCAAAATGACCAAACAACGATCCGTCATACTTTTTGCCTTCAATTAAATTGATTACACGACGCCACTGAAAACTGAGAATTTAGTGGAAGAAAATAGAAAGAAGAATTTAGAAAGAAGTTGAAGCAGCCGAAGATGAAAGCAGAAATAAATACTTATAACACTTGATGTGTATAAAGTTTAATCTTTCATAAATTATCTCCAAAAAATTACAATTTTTTATCCTCTATTCAACTGACAATTATCTTTCCTATATCCTACATCTTTCCGTTTGTATGCACTTTTTCTGCGGATTTGTTTTTAAGCAGAATTTTAACAGCATATTTGGTCAAAAATCTTCATTTCCTACCCTTTTTACCGGCACTCTAGTTTTAAACCGCTCCTATTAACTACCCTTCTCTTGCTGCTTCTTCACCGTTATCCCCCCTCGCCGCAGACCACCTATGACGTTACCTTATTTTACCCCGCAATTAAATTACAGACGGTAACTGCGGGAGCAGCAGAATGAGTACTGTAAGACTGGTGGCGCTGCCAGTCGACATTGACAACATATATACAAATGCAGCTACTTGATCTATATAAATGCATTCAAAATTATTAATAATTTTCCAATGAAAAAATGCTCAAGAAATTAACACAGAAAAATAAATGCAAGGAAAAAGGTTTTTAAAATGCCCTGTCGAATTAGTAGCTGGTTTTGTTGTCCTTCAAGATAATAAAAAAATTGAAATAAAAGTGAAGAACACATAGCTGTGCACTTCCACTGACAAATTTTTTCTCAAATCCTCTGTTTACTCAACTGATCCTTCTCAACTACCGACAAACTCTACGAAATTTTAACATAAAAATCCAGTCCCACGTAATCGTTCAGACTAACTTAACATTCCTTTTTGACACTGCTTTCTTCTGCATCTTTAATAGCTAAACAGCGACAAACGAATAAAAAAAGCTTATAAAACAAAAATAAAAAAAAAAGAAGGATAAAGAAAGAAATATTAAAAAGCATAAGAAAATATAATTTTCAAAAAAAAAAAAAAAACAATGGCAAAGCCTATCTTCTAAAATACAGTTGCATTTGAATGATTTATCTAACAGACGATAGTGGCTGCTTTCAAATTTTTGAAGCCAAAATTAGAGTGCACTGTTGTTGGAGACATATGTCTATATATTCAAAAACATGTGTATTTGTACAACAAAGAATAGGAGCTAAGGTCATCAGAATACAAAAACATCTCGCATATTTATTCTCAGCGCTGCAATAATTCATCGACTACTCGTGTGCCTTTCTCGTCATCCTTTTTTCTCTCCTTCATTTTCGTCAACAAAAAATATAATTAAAGTGTCAGTATAAGATTAGAGTGCAAAAATGAGTAGCTGACAAAAAAACGGGAAAATAGAGGAGAGTGGCAGGCTCAGAAATGAAGGAAGAAAAATGGGCAAAGTACAAAGACGATGAAAAAAAAAAACTAAGAAGTAAAAAGAAATAATGAATTTTTTTTGCAAATGTTATTTCAGTGAATAATGTAACGAACCAATACAGTACCCCTTGGGAGATTTTTTCTGTTCTTAGTTACAGCCCTATTCCTATCTGCACGCACTATATAACTGCTTTAAATTATGCATGTGAACTATGGGCCTACTGGAGCCGCTTCTGTTGCTGTTGTTACTGCTGCTGGTCCTATTATCTGCATATAACAGCAAATTAGACACTAAAAAAAAAAAA